CGAATTTAAAAAGAAACCTGGAAGTGTGCGAAATGTAAGGCGATTTTGCAAAGCGTGCTATGAAAATAATTCAAATCAGCTAGGAAGAATGAGAGCAAAGAATTGCACTAAAAAAGTGGCGACATATTGTGCCGACTGTTTTGGTTCACCTTTTCTTTGTATAAATAAAATTATTTTTGCATGTTCTGTATGGCATTAATTTCTTCGAACCATTATAGTAACAATGGTACTATTTAAAAATTTATCGGTATCGATATTTACTCTAATTATGTATTTTTACTAATGGTCGCGTCGCCGGTCACCGGTGGCCCCCATGGCGCTGTAGCAAAGTCAAGTGCCGGTCGTCGGCGACCCCCATGGCATTCAACGTGTTAAATGTCTCAGATGCCGCCGGAGCTCAATGTGTTAAGAAATAACGTAATCGTTTGGTAATTTGGGCATATTCTCGTCTTCTAAGATACATAGGGTGAAACTAAAAATAGTATAATAAAATAACATTCCATATGTAGCGTCTTATGCATCGAATCTCTTCGATTTCCAAGAACGCGTATCACGTGCCAAATTAATATTGCGTTATTGTTTTTTAATATTAAGGATCGCGAAGACAAATTGGCTTCTCAATTTTTGTCTGTCTCGTGTCTCCAGTTTGGTTCTGATTGGTTAGGATAAATATTAGTGGAGGAAAAGTAGAGATTTTTGATTGGACAGAGGGTGTGACGGAAGGACCTTTGGCTGAGGAGTAGGGAACTGTCAAGGAGCCGATTTTCGATGGTCAATGACGTGATTTACAAGAGGTGTCCGTCCGTCGCCTTGGTGGGTCAGTCGCACGTGGGTCCAATCTGTCGGGTCTGATACTTGTAAATTTTTTGAACTTTCACATTTAGATATGTGACTTAATCTGCTGAGAGGACGGCAAGGCACGTCTAACCTTCGGCGTATCAGTCGTAATACAAAATAATAAAATTTCTAGAATTATCGAAAATTAAAGTAGGAATTATTCTATAAACACGCTTTTCGGGATGGAACACCATACATCTATAAACAGGAAATTGTTTTTCGAAGATACTTATACAAGAACCATAATTAAATTGAGTTTAATGTTCAATTAATCGAATTAACCACGCAGATGCCATGCAGTCCTCAAGTCTAATGATGGAATCCGGAATTCAATATACAATACGGGTTCTAGCAACAAGACTACGTTGGAAAAATACAAGTCGGCGGAGAGGAAAAAAATAAAACTGAAACTGAAACTGGAACTGGACTGAAACTGACTTTTCGCAAATTTTGTGGGTGCTTATACAATGTTAGTTTTTGGTGGGGTGAAGATGACCATTGGCCCGTAGTGAAAGTAGGAATGAGTCAATTGTTTTTGGACTCTGAAATAGGTCTATATATATATCAGCTAGGTCCTTCTAGTAACTAAGGGCCAACAAATCGTTAGTCATCCAACACTAAGGGTTATCCAATATTTTATTAAACTGTTATGAAAATTACAGATGTCTGTATATCGTTGCTTTTATTTAAAGTGGTTATATAAATTAAACAAAATATGTTTCTTAACTTATGTCACGCAGATTTTGTCTTAATTCTTCGATTTAATTTAATTTTAGTCCTTGCACAAATATGTTCCAAAATAAATCTAATTGTTTATTCGTATAGAATATACCGAAATTCCCAAATGACTACGTTGTTTCTTAACTTTGTCAATAAGTATATGTGTTTCTCAGTCCTAGCAACGCGTTTACGTTGGACACATTTATGAATCCCTCGGCTCTATCAATCTTTTCGCCAAATGCATATATAAGATGCTCGTCCGCAAAGGGTTAACTACGAAAATTTAAATTATTAGTTTTCTAATCGACGTAATAATTAGCAGACAATGTAATACCCATCGAAATGTCTCGTATAATCGTTATCACGTGAAAAACCACTTGTCGAACTTACTTTTCGTGGGATCGATTCGGGCCATGTCGAAACTTAAAGATAAAATAGGCAACGGCTTATGGAAATCAAAGTTTCAACCCAATTATTCTAATTTTCTTAGAATAATTCAATCCTCGCGAAATGTATTCTACCCATCCTCTGTCGAGAAGTCGTTTCCTTCTTTCCTCGGTAGTTCCAACTCTCTGATTCCTTTGTCCCCTCGTTCGTTGAAAAGAAACGACAGTTACGACTGCCCTTTGTTCCAAATGTAATTTTGAAAAGCGCGGTGTCCGTCTTGTCCGTTGAATAATATAATTACTTGCATGATCTACCGACATATTGAAATTGCAAAGACGCCGTGGTATTTGAACGAGAGGAAAAAGTAAAAACTAAATCATATAATAAAGTTCGTGTTGTCAGGGATGCTGGCACGTCGGAGACGGTGGCTCGCCCTATGGACGACGTTTGCCCGTGGGACGTGGCTCCAGGACCGAGTATAGAGCACGCCACAGATACCACGCAGCTGCAGCATCCAATGTCATCTGGAGTGACGTCGTCGGTTGAAAGCCAAGCAGAAGAAGGCAACAACTTGATTGGCCCGTCACAGTCTATCGAAGTTGCACGTATATCTCGGAAAAATTCCTCGCAATTGGATTCCTGTAGTTCTTCGTCTGACGTCAGCTTAGCAGTAGCAGAAGTATCCGAACATCTTCGAAAGTCTTGTAGTTTGCAACACAGTAGTAGTACAGGTAAATATTGCCAGTACTGTGTACAGTCTGTCCGATAATAACGTGTTCGACTTTTCACTTAGTTAGTTAATTGGCAAGAAAGTACTTTCGATTTTTTAGTGTGAAATAAAACTCAGTTTTTTCTATGAAAAATGAATTTTAATCGGTCAAATATCTTCCATTCTATTCGATGACCTTTTGCCATCTTTCTGGTAACTTCGTGATCCCGCGCTCATAGAATTTCTGGTCCTTATCTGCGAAAAACTTAACCAAGTGCGTAAATCTCAGAAGGTCGACCAGAACGTTGTGGGTATCTTTCAGTGAAAAATCTTCAGAACGAAATTTTTTAAACTAATTCTGACACGTGCGTTCTGTTAAACAATCAACACCATAAACTTCTCGTATCTCTTTGTGAGCCTCAGCCGCATTCTTGCCTTTATGAAAATAAAAAAGTAAAATGTGTCGAAAATGCTTATTTTTGCACTCCATGTTAAGACTGACCGTGAACTGACAGTTATAAACGAAATTACACGGAATTTCACGAAATAGCAACCTAAAGGTATCGACTACCGCATCTCAGAAGAAAAAAATTCTAACATTGACAAAAGAATAACTAAACAAGCATAACATTATTTACCGATGCAAACCGAAATTACTTTCTTGCCAACCCAATAGATAATGAGCTGGTCAAGTTTTTTACCAATAGGAACGAGGACTTCTTCAATCGTGGAATTATGAAATCCAAAATGGACAAAAGTTATCGAACAAAACGGCGCATATTTGATCTAAATCCGAAAATTCTAACTTTGGTAATTTCATCGTCGAAATAAAGAGAAAAAACGCTCAGAACTTTTTACTTCATCTATTATATTCCTAATTCTCGTGGCATCTGGTAGAGGACTGCCTTTCTCTGAATGCTTTGGCGGGAAATGTTCAATTTTCTCCAAATTACCGATTGTGGACGACATCGTGAGCGTTATTTTCGAAGGCATCATAAATGCTGTGCATGCATCGTGCTTTGAAGCAGTGTTTCTACGTATTCACTCAGAAGAGTCGAAAATATCACGTGCTGCCACTGCTTGATATATGGGCAGATGAAAATCATTCGACAGAACGTGGATAATGCGTTATGAAAAGATGGAAGTGTCTATGATCTACCCAATCGTGGTGTACGACGGAAGATTAGAGAAAAAGATGGCAAGTGGATATTGATTTTATTTTTTAACACTGGAACTACCAACCCAGTCAAAATGACTGGTCCCAGAATCTTCCTTTTTACAATCACCGAACACATACACCTGCTTTAACCGTTTGAGTCCCAAGCAGCGCGATCGCGCTCAACTTTGCTGATGCATGTACGTCACATAGTACCAACAAGCGCTATTGCGACGATTGGGATTTTTCGACATAAAATTAAACAAGCGCTATCGCGTCGTTTGGACTTCTTCGCACTCGATTAAGGCAAGCGTTATCGCGCTGTTCAGGGTTGTTATGGTGAAATTCAATAGTGAAGCAAACTACATCCCAGCGGTGTGGGGGCGATCCCTTCCCCCAATGTTCTGTCTTTTCTCACCAGTCTCGTGAAGACGACTTTTGACCTGCGAGGCACTGAACAGTTCAGTTCTAACCATTCGCCCGTTGAATAAAGATCTACTCAGTTTTTCCACAGTTTTCCACTGACTACTCTTCCTTGCGTAATAACCCCTTTAACAAAAGTTTTTCGACTCTGCTCTTC